ATTTTATACAACTATCATAACTTGTAAACTATTTTCTGATCTTGCTCTGAGCCACATATCACAGAAGCCCAGGAAGATTCAAGGACACAGATCTGATAAAGAACAAAAAATTTTTGAGTAGAGAAGCAACTTTTCTTCTGTGTTTCCACATCTATCTTAAAGGGTTTTATAATTTCAGTGCTAGTGAAGCAAAGGAAGGATATTCCGGGAGTAGGTTGTGTTGCACAATGTAGGCAGGTTACGTGCAAAACATGCTAAGGACAAATGTTGTCCTTAGCAAACATTGGTCAATGCTGCTTTCTTAGCTAGTTTGAGAAATACAGACACTGGAGTTGAATTTCAGTTGATGAAAGTGGCTGTCTGTTCCTTCCAGTAAATCTGTTTGTTGGCCTTTCCTTTGTATACTTAGCTTCCTAAAAGTTAGTTCTTTTCCTTCATAGTGTTAGTCACACCTCAGATAACATTAAAAATTCTTTCCTTATTTTCTGTTTGTATTTACATGCCCCCAACCCCACCCATATTTTCTGTTTACATTAATATTTGTGCTGCTCTGCTGTTGTTTCCATCCTGTCTTGTCCTGTGTTTTCTGCATTTCATTTTCTTTTCCAAATCAGCACCAGACTGCCCCCAGCAGCTCCCTTCTGTCTGGAAATATCAGGAAGAGCACAGAGCATGTAAGACCTGGTGTCTCCCCTTCTCAGAGGACAGCTGAGGCTAATTTTGCTAAGCATTAAAAACAGGAAGCAAATAATTCAGCAAGATATGGACACCTGGGATGGCAAACTTCAACATGGGGGTTTTGTTTTGTTTTTGATGTTTTTAAAATTGTAAGCAGCATTTTAGAGCAGAAAGTCCTCATTTTACCTGGAGACACTGTGATCAGTGCACATAAATGCTGCTGTCATCTTGCTCCATTGACTTAAGTTATGTATGAAAGATCCAAGTGGTCACTAGATGTCTCTGATACGTCACTCAGCGCAGCTGAAAAACACAGAAAGAAATCAAGTTTTGTCTTTATAGCAAATAGAAAGCAAGACAATATCTCATCTCTTCAATAGTTGTTGATGGCAAAATAGCATTCTACTGGGAAAGAAACCAAAACCTCATGGTTATGAACCAGATGAAACTATTATTCCATATACTTTGTTGTTGTCCTCCTTTATCTGCAGAAGGATAAATTCACTCAAGTCTTTACTATCATAATAACCACTGCCACAGGCTCCTCAAGGGTTAAAGTTCCCTTGCCTTCCAGTGCTGTTCACCTCCTGAGCAAAAAGGCAGAGATGAGTGAAAGTTTCATTCCAGGTTTCACCTGGCATCACACCTGGATTATCACCCTCGAGCCAAATTCTGCCAAACCCTAGTTTCCTAACAGGCACTTCAAATAAAATCCAAGTCCCCTTATCATTTTTTAAGGTGCTACTATAATTTCCAGGTATCCTGTATCTATTGTGCTCTAAAATCAGGTATGCTTGTATAACTGGAGGTTAATATGATTTTATAACAATGTGTTTCAACTTCTGGTAATCACTTATCACTTGCAATCAGATACTCTGAGGTCCAGACAAATATGTCTCTTGTACCATTACACAATACTCCCAAGAACATTGTTTTCCTCTGGTTCTTAGGCATGGTAATAAGGCCATTAGTCTTTCTGCCACTTCTCAGAGTGGTTTCAAAACCAGCTAACAAATTTCCTGGTGGCAAATATTTCTTCTCTTACTTGCACTTATTGTTCTTCTGAAGAAAAACTGCAAATAAATGGAAAACACAGATGAAACTTTACCCTTTCTTGTGGTTGGGGCACTACTAGGATATTGCAGCAGCAAGCACTGGTGTTTTTCCACCATATAAGTTCTTTTTTTTTCTGGAAAAGAACAGAACAGTAGCGCAATTATTCTTTAAACTTGGTCTAAAAAAAACCTGCAAGAGGCACAGCCCACAATTAATACAAGATAAGGTAGCTCTGCCAGCCTGTGTCACAATCCTGTCAGTTATGTTCACGTAAGGCTGAATATGAACTCAATTTTCTCAAGAACCATGGGGCTTGCTTGTTTTTGAGGGTTTTTTTAATCAAATTTCTGAAAAAATCAGGAAGTCACAGAAAAATTCTCATTTGATGTAATTGAAGGTTAATTTCTTAACATGTGGTAGGGCCTGATGGGAGCTGGTGTGAGCTTTTTAAGTGCTCAAAATTGCTAATAGTATTCCTAAGCTAAAACAACTAAATAAATTATATCATTATAAAAGAAGATATAACTCTGCATCAGAGAGAATTCTCTCTGAAATAAATATTCATAATTTTTATGGCCATGGCCTCACTGTTAAATATACTGTAATAACAATTGTATTCAATTTATCTTATGTGAGACACAATCCATTTCCTTCAAAAGGGGCTGAATTTTTGCCATCCTTTTACTTATACTAAGATCTTAATTCTTAAAATTGGCCTCTGTAGCCAATGAGTAACTTATTTTCTGATTTAAACATCTTACTTTTACATTGCATTTGTGTAGCAAATTATTATAAACTAAGAGAAAAAGACTAACCTGGATTTTTCCTGCTCTGGTCATTATAAATCAAGGATTATTGTTGCTCTTTGTACTTCTAAAAACAGATTTTATCAAAATTATATATACTACCATAACAGAACACAGAAACAATTTATTCTGTTTCTTCTTGTGCCCAACCTCTCCATCCATTAAAAAAAATCCATTAATATGTAAATGGAAGATTCAGATCTTTCACAAAATATAGACCAAAATTCTGGTGTTTTAAACAGCATTTTTGGGTATAAATTGATAGGGTTATACACAAACACAAAAAAAAGCTATCTAAAAGAAAAAAAATAACCTTTTCTGTTAATTTTCCTCTGTGGAACTGCAAAGAATAAGCAACATTCTCCTGAGTATCTACCTACATGAGGATTTTAATTGCCATGTATGAAACCCATGAGATATGAACACATTCCAGGCTTGTCTGTAGAATATTGCTTTTATTAGGGAATTTTATTTCTTTCACATATAGTGGTTGACACTGGACTTTTTTTTTTTTCTCTGAAGTTCATGAAAGTTAGGAGATGAAAGTCCATGCAAAAGAACGTGGACATAATTTTTTATGAAGAAGGCAGGGAACTGGCAGAAGTCCCTTTGATATCTTCAGTTTTATATATCAAGACCTTGAGCACAGAACAAGGAGGTGCTTCAGAGTGGTAGAAGGGGAAGGCCAGAGTGCAGCAGGAGAAGAGCTGAGGACAATGTTATATGGGGATATTTTATGAAAATAACTGAGCTGTTTCATTTAATTACCTGAAATGCTACAGATCAAGTGCGAACCATAAAGGGGGAACTGCTGCCTAGCAGTTCATAAAGAAAAACACCACATCTGAGGTGTTTTTATTTTTTAGCAGCATATATGTTCTTGATTTGTTTTTTTTCCTTTTCTCAGTAGTAATGGCTAAAATGGAAAGAAATTGGAATCTCAGAGCTAGCCTAGATGCTTTTCTTATTGATGTAATAAATACTAGCTTTTGACTGAAAAAAACCCAACTTTTTTTTCTTAACTGGATAAAAAAACCCTAAGTGTTTTGAAGTCTAAATCTGTTCAGATATAGATGATATATTGTGTTAGGCCATTTTTAAGATTTTACACATTAAGGATTTTAACAAGAGATTTCTATAGTTAGCTTGAAAACACCAACGTGGTAGAAATAAAGTACTCATTAAGCAAAGGAATAGAATACTCCACAACTAGTTGGAGATCTATGTAAATGAATATGCTTATTTGGTTCTGATAGTAAAAGACCATGTTGGTAGTGGTTTTTTTTCCTTGGGTGGGGGCCCCTTTCTCTAACATGATGCCTTTTTACGACAGGCAATCCCCTTGCTCTAACAAAGAATCTGCATAAGTAAAAGACTCAAAAATTGCTATTGACATTTACTTACTTAAATACTAATATTTAAAATTTAAGTGGTAGTTTTAAGTAGATCTTTCACTCTTTCCAGAAGCTTGAGTGCAGCTGGTCAGAGCTAAGCCCAGGAAAATTAAAAGGTATTAATTTAGCCTTACTTTTTCTCAGTGTAACCTGAGAGTCAGAATTTTCATCATGGTATAATCTGTTCCCTTTCCATTTGAAACTTTTGGCTAAAATGGTATCATGGTCATAAGTCTCAAAGCAAGCTACTTTGTAAGGCATGTTCACATTTTGAAATCTATCTAACATGGTACTGGGTGTACTTTTTCAGCTTCCTTGGGGCTCCCTGCATAGAAGCCAAACGTGGGGAAGGAGCAGGATATGCAGTGTTTATAAATGTATTTTTAACTTTACTCTTTCCTTTTTTTTCCCTTCAGGTGGTATGAAAATGATGATGGGTTGGCCCAGGACCCCTCATGGCAAGGTAAGTATGTGAGATATTGCTACTCGTGGTACTCTACTGAGCTGCCCCTGCTCACCAGCTACCCAAGCTGAGTAAGCAGTGAAAACATTTTGTAAAAGATAAATATTTTGTAAAAGATAGTTTTCTGAGGGACTGTGTTGCTTTAGCAACAAAATGCAATCTTTAGCATTTTATACACGTATCTTTGTCTATTTGGATCTAATGCAATATTTAGCTTAGTGTTTTATAGAGAGGAGCTTCTGAAACTACAATAATTAATTGTAACAGGTACTGTTAACATTTTCATAAAGTATAAATTAAATGTGGATGCTGAATGAGCCAGTGTGTGCTTAAATTCGACACAAGCTCCATAACTGAAAGTGAGGTACAGAACCTGAGACCATAATTGCTCCAGTGAAGAAAACTCTGGGCATCTCTTTTAAGGCAGAAACTATTAAGTACTTGGAAACTCTTCCACTGTGAAGCTATGGGCAATTTTAACTTCAGATTTTTCCAATATCCCAGGTCAGACCTTGTAAGTTTCCTCTAATCTTTACAAAGGCACAGTCTGCCATGAAAAATGAATTCTGAGGTATTCCCAACCATCCAAAAGAGAGAAACACATCAGATTAAGGACATTTTAATTATGTTAATCACCTACCACATTTAGCATTTTCTTAAGGATAAAAAATTACCTACATATGATTCATTTTAGATTTTAAGATACAGAAAATTTGCAGAAATTTTATAAACCTAAGATATAGCATATTTCATTGTCTCCACACACTGAAGTGGCTGAAAGGCCATTCTTTAAAATTCACAGATTGTGAGACGATACAGGTTGCACTTTTTGTCATTCCAGCTCCCATCCTTGTACATCTCTACACATTTTTCTTTCCCTTTGCCATTAGGCTCATATTGGTGCCACTTGGTGTAACTCAGGGGAATGCCAGTTATATATGTAAACTGGCCTGAAGTCTCACACTCTTTAATGCCCAAGTAAGCATATTGCTTATACTGTTTCACAATGTCCATAATAGCTTTATTCTCCTCCTCATTCATGGGAGTTGCAAGAGTTCCTCCAGCCTCTTCACAGGATCGTAGTGCAGATGCAAAATCGGCTTTCTTTCCATTGGTAGCAAACACTTTCTCTCCTACTTCTCTTATTTTCCCATTCAAAGCAAGTGCTGAAACATGAAAAGAAAAAACCCACTTAGCTTTTTAAATTTTCTATGGCCTATTGAAGAAAAAGAAAAAAAAAAAAGAGAAAACAAGAGATTAAGAGAAAATTAAAAGTGGTAAGAGGAAGAGTAGGCAAAAATGAGAGTAAAGGATTAAGAGAAAAAAAGATCTTAAATTTTACCCATTCACTAGTTTTTCCCTAAGTTTATTGTTATGCTCCTTGTGACCATCTGTCCTTGTCTCCAAGACAAGGATGCCCCACTCACATTTGCCACATACTCTATGAGCCCTGTTATATTGAGTGTGCTTTCTAAAGAGGATCAGTTTACTTCAAATTTGAGCAAGTGAAATAGAGAAGTGATAATTTTTTGGGAATTCTTTCTCAATAAGAAACAATTTACCACTCTCAACAATCTGGTTGCTGATAGATAAAAATATGGAGTATAAAACTGAGGAGTTCCCAGGAATCTGTGTGGAAAGTGCAACATCGGTTGGAATATTTTTTTCAAATAAATCAAATTTTAATAAGTGTGTGTTACTGTTGCTAAAAGAAATCTGCTACTCCAGGGAAACAGGGTCTTGATTTCCCAAGCTTTGGATGAGAAAATGGAGTTTTGAGACTTAGTACCATTTTCAAATGAAATTTCCTTCCTACAAGTCATGAGTCTATAATTAACTTTGCCTATTGTGCTTAGAACTGTTTGTGAGTTGAAAAAATAACAAGGGGAAGAATTACCGGCTTCGAGTTGGAAAAGTCGGTGTTCCAAATTTACTAAAAGATTGTGGCATCCAGTGTCCAGAGAACCAGGTAGACCTATACAGATAAAAATAAAAGTTATACAATCAAGCAAAACTAAGCTCTGCTGATAGGAACAATTCCCTTGATAAAACTAGTACCTTTCCAGAACTAACTAGCATGTAATAGTATTTTTTTTACATCATCAGGTGTAAAATAAATATTTTCTCAGTAATTTTTTCATGTTGTTGTTAATATATATTAAAGCAAACTAACAAAAACCTCCAACCCTCTAAAATGCTACTAAAATGCTACTAATGCACAGAAGCAACTCAGTTTTTCTAGGTTGAAGAATTTTTTTTGTTATATCTGTGAAACTGGCTCTGCCAAAAAGAATTTGTTTCATTCTACTAAATGGTGGTGAACAAGCACAAGGGAGATTTTGGGGAGGGAACAGTTCCTGTGACACCATACTATTTTCTTTTAATGTGCAGGGTGGATGCTTTGTGTTTTTATGGTGGGATCTTATTTTAATGAAGGCATAAACACTAGTAGAGGAAAGTTTCTGCATAGATAGTGTACTTTAGCAGTACTGTAAAGCACTGTAAAGGTAGATTCCTTTTTCATACCCATTTCCATGGGTAATAAAGGTCCTACATGTAGAATAAAATCATTAATGTTCTTCCATGATCATGTTCCAATTATTCACAACTGAAACAAATAGCAACATAGAACGACAAAATATTGCTGCATCTCCAAGTTGCAATTTTGCAACAGTTACTGCACTTCACAATTCATTAAAAAAAAACACCCATATTTGACCTAATAAAGAGAGTTTATGGATAATATTGATAGTGTTTTAGCCTTGTCAACAGACTTGGAGAATGCATTTCTACATAGAAGGAAAATTACAGAGTGCAAAGTGTGTTCCTTACAAGTCTACTTTTGCACATACCATCTTTGAACACTAGAGAAATATACCAGAATCCTTTTAATTACACTTTTGAATACTAGATAACATTGCCTTTGTATTTAAAAAAAAAAAAAGAAAAAAAAAGATAACTTCTCCTGTGAAAGAAGCAATTCCCTTTGGAAAGTCAATAGAAAAAGCACTGTAAAGACATATTTATATATATAATATTTATATCAAAGTATTTATAACTTGTTCACTTCCTCTCTTCTCCCAGATGAGAGCAGAGGCCTGTCTTTTGGGAGAAAAAAAATTAAACTGCCTGTTTCCTCCATTCAGTTTTCCTTCCTCTGCTTAACACAGCTGCTTCCTGGAGAGCACACGTCCTTCTGTGTCGTGCTGCCTTCATGACAAGGATCCGGTGCAAAAAAGGGAAGTTTACTTACCCGGTACACGTGGTAGTCCTTTCAGAACATCTTTTCCAGGGATATCAGGTAGCCCAGAAATTTCTGGAAATTTACTCAATGCGTGGCAAGTCACTATCAAAGCAGCTACTGCTGTGAGTACATAGGATGAGTAAGACAACATGATTGCTCAGGCCAGCTGTAAGGAAACCCACACATTTGTCAGGCAGTGATTTTGTAAGAAATTGTTGGCATTGGCTTATATAATTGAAAATTCTGGAAATTTACATTATTTCCTTGTTTAAATACAGTCTATAGTTTAGGTGTAAGAGATTTCCCAGATTTATTTTCTACCATTGTGTAGCTTATACACGAAACTCGTTTTAGTCTGATTCAGCTTGATGCGCTCATTACAGAATGATAGCCACACATTTGGAAGCAGTGAAGATAAATTATCCCTTTTGCTATCACTGACTATTTGTTGGATTAATCCTCGAGAAATGATGGGCTTGGATGTAACTGCTCACACTTAAGCCATTAGTTGGCTGTTAAGGACTATAATCACTCAATGATTTTATGATACCAACCTGAAAGGCACAATCTGTTACAGTGGTTATTGCAATGTTTTGGAGCTAGTTAGCAATCTCTTTAACCATAGTACTATTTAAGCACATTTGTTTGACATAAACAGACTGATAGTGTTTTACACATGGGTAAAATTTTATAGCTCAATTGACATTCCTATCTTGTTTTGAACAAAATTCCACAAGCTTGAAAATGTCAGAGTTATTCTTGTGGAAAATGCATTTTTACTGGGTGGCAATAGGCCTATTCATCTTATTTTATCCTTTCAGATATAACATTAATCAGGGTTATAATCCTAGTGCTGAGATATAATGACTAAAAAGCACTCAAATTATATACATCATAGGTTTACAACATAGCGAGTGCGTATTCTGTGCAGTTATGAAACCTGAATTGAAGGACTGTAAGTTACTGTGGCATGGAGATACCCAGTTATTGACATCATTCAGTTTAAATAATAAGAGATGTGAAGCAAGGTTCAAGAGACCAGAATTGGTATCCATTTCTAATAGGTGATTCTGTTGGGTTGATTCTCATACAAAATATGTAACTTAATACCCACTCTTCACTTTTCTATTGGCATGAATTAGAGAGGATCCTGTACTACCCCCTCTCAAAAACTTCCATCCTTAAAAAGAAAATCAGAATTGACAATCATAATATGTTCTAAATCCAGCACCACTCAAAATTGAAAATAAAACTTTGGTTGGCTTGAATGTCGCAAGATTTTAAAATCTGGGTTCATCAGTAATAACAAGGTATTTGTTTCAAAGGATATATGCCAAGTAGAATCAAAATATCAGTTTATTACCATTTGTTAAATGGGCTGAGCTTTTTGAAAAGAGAAGTATTGTTTATATCTTCCAGATTGATTCTGTCATAGTTTTGAGATTATTCTTAATCTGCATCAACACTAACTTGTTTTTCTAGGGGAATGTCTTATCAAAGTCAATTCAGTAGGAATTCCTTGAACATAAAAATATTCAATTATGTCATAAATTTGTAGCATATAGTATCTGTTTAATTAATAGCAGTATCTATTCCTCATGGTCAAGAATTTCCACTTTAAAGAGTGGGAACACACGAGCAGTATTAAAAGTGCTGTTGAGTTTTGTGTGTTGAATCTGAAGTGTCTTGAGCTGTTTACTATACTGAAGGCTAGCAGACATCTCTGAAAATGCTGGCCAATGACTTAGAGACAGCAGACTATTAAACCTACTTTAGGTGGCTAGGAATACTTACATCTCTGAGATAAGCAAATGCAATTACAACATGTACCCTTTGCCTGATGATCATCATTCAGGGAATTACATTTGAATGGACTACTGCATCCAGCTCATAATTGGATTATGATGCAGAGTCAAAGTCTTGATCAATTATAAAGCAAAATGGAAAAAAACCCAGCTCTTCACTTTTAATCCACTTTTAATGACCTTCATCAGTCATTACTATCTAGTGGCCTTCAGGCGTGTCCTCATCTACTAAAATTGCTAGCATAAGCAAAGTAAAAAATTACTAATAAAGGAAAATTTCATTTTAAAATGTAAGTATGACCACAGAAATAAAAAGAAATGGGTTTGCCTTCTAGCTGAAATTCCTTGTGATTTATGAAGAGGAAATCCAACTTACCCTTCTGCTTCAAAGTGAAATGAAAGTGCAGTTCACACGAGTCCCCTTTATACGGTGTCATGTTTGTTGAATGACACCGCTGAAGTGGAGACTCAGCACTGAGGGTACAAATGTGTTTTTTTAGTTTCACTCACATATTTGTGATGCAAATACTGAGATCAGTTTTAAGGTTTGAGCAATTTCTTATTCTTTTATAACAATAAAAATCCAAAGTTGTAGAAAATACAATCTAGAACTAACAGATAACTCCAGATTTGTAGACACAAACAAAATGTATAAAAACGTAAAGTAACTTTCTGTGATTCCAGGTCATATTGTAAAAATTGTTTCTTGTTTTACAAAAGCAAAAATGTCATATGACTGCCAGTGGGTTTTGTGAAAGGAAAGGTACTCCTGTGAATTAAGGAAGCGTGATACCTCACAGATAGTCTGACCTGGAAGTCAGAATTCTGAACTTTGTTTCCCATCTCTGTGTATGATGTACTTGCCTTACCTTAATATAATTTCCTAGCTGTGTGTTATGTTCAGTGTTTCTATGAGCTTGTGGTCTCTCTTGCATGTAGAGTACCGTTGATCCTTTCTTGGCCAGAGACGGATCTTGGAAAAACCTGTATATGTGCACAAAACTCTCAAATGGGCAACATTTTCCAGAAAAAAAGAAACCAGAGTTTTTTTCCTCTGGTTTCCCAGGAATAAATATTGTGATCTTGTGAGTAACTTCCTTCTGGTTCTGATGTCTTCTATTGTAGGATGTTTGATCCTAGATGAAGTTTGTTTCACAAACCTCAGCAAGCCAACACATCAGTCCCTCACCTGTAAGACAGAAATACCTCTGCTTTACAGCTTTTCTCTGTTTTGTCAGTTTATACTGTGGTCTGTTAAGGATAGGATGTTCTCTACTTATCATTTGTATTTTACTAGAACTATCAAAGTTTCATCATGATCCCTAACTATAGTGTCTTTCTACCCAGCAGTACTGACAGCTGCAAGATAAAACCTTTAGGCTCCGTGTTCAGCAATTAAAAAGATGTTTAATATCAACTAGCTGACCTAGCTAAGAGAAGATTCTGAAGGACAAGATATGTGAGGGATCCCCTTCAGAAGTAGCTTAGTTACTTAAATTCCCTTCCATTCACAGCTGTAAACCTCACCTTGCAGTTAAAAGGACATTACTCAGCATGGTTTGTCCTCCCTCTCAAAAAAAACCCCGCACAAATAGCAAACTGAGGACAAACTGAGTGTCCTTTTTAACAAATTATCAATTAATATTCGCAAACTTATGTTATAAACAATCTATCTTTGAGTCCTTCCTCTACCTGATATGCAGTAAATCTTTGAATGCAGGTTAGTAATTTTACAAAACCTCTCACCCCATCAGTGGAAACTATTTCCGTCTGTAGTCCAGAAAAGGTAGATGAAAAGAACTGGTATTGAGCGTATAAGACATGGATTAGACAGTACCCAACACATAAAATACTTTTTTTTTTTTCTTCTGAATCCCATTGCAGCTTGGGAATAGCACGGACACCAGGCAACTCAGCACCATTGAGACACAGGTAATTCTGTTTCTGAAGGGTAGCAGACCTCTGGGGTACTTAGGAAATTTCTTTAGTTGCAGGATAAGATGAAATTTAATGGATCCAGGTTTTGAGAAGTAATATTTTAAATTACTAGGTGCCCAAGTTCTTGCCCAGGTTCTAACTTGCCAGAAAACAGTCTCATACAGATCTAGTTTCTAGGCAGCTCTGCAACAGTTGTAAGGGTTAATTTTTCTGCTGTATCACTGTACCCATATATCCTTCCCATGTAGATACATGCAACTTTAATATATGAACATGATATAAATCTCTGCAGATTTGTATCAGTTTATAGTTATAAAAAATTAAATAAAGAACCGAAAACATTAAACAGGGAAATCAGTTAAGCCCTACCAGCTATTATCTCTGTCCATTCGGGATAGTGTGGCAGGAGTAAAACATGGCTTATAATGTAGGAAAACCTTATAAATTATTATCTCTTACCAAAACTTTCAAGGAAACATACATTTGATAACAGTTGTTCTCCCATGAGTCACACTCTACTTACACAATGGATGCTGATAAGAAATCTAAACCATAATCCAACGTGAGAGATTACTTAGCCATTTCCTTAGTTATGTGGTAGAGAATGAGGGAAAACAAATATACTAAAATAAGGAAGAAAGAAAGTAAATATTTTTTCTGCAACCTAGTATCCCTGTAGAATAGCTACAAGGTATTCTGAAATTTGCAGGTAAACCTGCCTGGTAATGGCTGAAGGTCTTTAGCTGGGAAACACACACAAAACCCAGTCAGGGAACTTTAGCAGCTTCAGGGGGCATCAAGTACTGCATACCTCTTTCTATCATTAAGAAGAAAAATAAGAGTTTTAAATATGCTGTTTTGTTAATGCCAGTGAATTAAACCCAAACCCTGCAATGGCCTTCTCAACCATCAGCAAAGGAGAACTTGGGGAAAAAAGGAATCTGATTTTCAAAGATGGCATGTACCCAGAAAGACTGCTTCTTTATATAACAGCTGTGCATGCTACCCTCAAAAACTAACCACCAAGGGGGGGTAAAAACCAGAACTAATGTTTTATAGCCTTCACACCTCTCATTTTCAGAATGCAAGGTAAACTCTTCATTTTGGTCACACTGTCTTGAAGTGAGCTGATTACTAACTGATTATGATAACTTATCATATCCTAAACAGCATGAAGTTACGTCACACTCAAAGCACGGTGCTGTACAGCCTTGCTAGTTTACTTCAGCAATTTGTGAGACATTAATCTCAAACGCGTCACTCTGCTGCAAGTTCCTGATACCGGCTCTCTGAGCCTGTCCTTGGCACAACATCTGTGTGGAAGCAGGTGTGGTCAATTCTCCACGTTTACCTTGTTCAAAAAAGAGTAGTTTTTAATATTTGTCTAGTATTTCCACTGTAATCTATTTGCTGTGCTGCTACAGATCTTTAAATCATACAGAGTTAAGCGCCTATAGTTAGTTTTAGGAATTCTCATTGGCATCAGCTTAAGACCTCATGAGAAATATAGAGCACTAAACATATGTCACCTCTCAAATCATGAAACAATCCAATGGCTGAAGTCCTACCTCCTCTCCACGTGCAGTTTAACTTTACTGAGACAATATGGGTAGGTAAACAGTCCCCCCTTTGGAAAATAAGAAGCACTGATAAAATAATTTGTATGCTAATTTATAGTGCACCGATCCAGGAACGGGATGAAAAAAATGTAGAGAATATGGTACCTTACTACACTGCTAATACTGAAAGATAAGATATTCTGCTTTAGGTAAGTCTTAAAATTTGTATTAGTGCTGTGTGTACCCTAGACTTGTGTCACTTTAATCTGAGGATAAGAATCTCACAGGAAGAATGTGATTGCTGATGAGGCACATTTATATTTATGAAAAAACATGGCATCAGTGACATGCTGTCAGCTTAATAGCACACTTATTTTGGGCAATGGATCCCAGGGCAGAGATTTCTGATGGAGGAAAATAAGGAATGCTGAATATAGATCATGAGGTTCCCCAAAAGAGGATAATGGAGATAGGGAACAGAGCTTGGAATAGCGGATTTTAAAGAGCTGGCTCCACTAGACTGCACTGAATAGCCCTCTCATAGCATTGCTATTGCAAAATACAGAAAGCATAAACTTAAGACAAAAAAAAAAAAATAAAAAAAAAAGTCTTCAAGCAATTTATTCAATTTATTTCAATTTATTTTCCATTCCAGGAAAAGCAATTCAAACTATGCTATCAAGAAAAGAGATGACCAGGTTTTCAGAGTTTTTTTTTAAAAAACAGTGAGTATCTCCAGCCAAAGAACTTACAACTTAAACCTGTGTTAACAGAAGAACTGCTTGTCCTTTGCTTTTAGATTATATCAGATTCCTTCTTTATCATATGATTAAAGCAATTGATTTAAACTACACATTCAGAGTCAGCAAAGTACAGGATATCAGCAAAGCAGCCTCTCGAGTTATATGAAGATGGTAGGCAAGTTGCTAGAAAAGTCATTTGGACTGAACCATTATTTCTAAGCCTTGAAAAAAGAAAGAGAAAAAATCAACCAGAGCACATGAGCCAAGGCATCAAGCAGCTCTTGCTTTGACAATAACATAGCAGATTTTTAGGCACTGGTTTCTTCTTTCAGACAGGACAAGTACTCTCCCCTTCTGCCTCCCCATATTCTTTATCCAGGTTTAGTAAAAATTTAGCCATACTGTAACCAGCTTCTGTCTCATCCTTTTATAAACAAATAGAAACTCACAAATAATCTCATTCTAACTTCACAACCTAATAATGATTTTTAAGTCTGTTTCTTAACTGTTTCACAGGCAAAGTTTAGAGAGATGGTATTCCTATGATCATTGAGGAATCACATTTTTATTTCCAAAGCATCAATTTATTCTTGTATCCTGTAGGTCATATTATCAACTCTATAATTCCTCCTTGCATCTTCCACACCATGTAAGTAGCCCTCTATGGGAATACTACATAACAGTATGGACGAACCCTAATCTTTATTCAACAACAAAACAAAATTACTCACTGAAATATCAATTAAGCGTGTCATGATGGAGTAAATATTGCCTTTTTACTGGGAACAGTGGAAAGAGTCCTTCCAGAGATGAAAGTGTCCTGCCACATTGTGTTCCCACAGAGGTGAATTGGACCACATCCCTCCTATCAAAAGTGGTAATAGGAAGCAATTTATGCTTGAACAGCCACTGGCCAACATTGCCTTGGAAACATATGCTTGCAATTCATATCTTGCCCTTATAAATAGCCACCTGGCCCCTGTTATCAATTTAAAATAATCTAGCCTCCAGATAGAAAAAAAAATATCCTGCCAAGCTCTTATTATGTTGTTATTGCCGGGAAATGGCCTGTATAATGTCTCACTGATAAGTGTTAGAACATATATATCCAAAAGCTTTGTCAGTATTTTATTTGCCATTGAAATTCAAAGTCCTTGGAAGAGACTTCTTACTGAAAACACATGGCAGAAAACACAGAGTTGCAAATGAAAATAATAAACTCATCAAGCTGCTCTTACGGTCTGATGATCACAGTGAAATTAAGCTGCTTTGCATCTTACTGAAGGGACACCAACTGGTCATGAATTCCCAGGAAACAGCACTTGTTGTGGTTGTTATTGCTGTTATGAGCTGAAAATTAAGACAACAGGTATTATAGAATTCAATTTTGCACAGAATTTTTCAGGAGACTGAACACACAATTCTGTATAGTTTAGCTGACTGTGTTGTTTGAAGCATACAGAGATGAAAACACTGAATCGCTTCTGTTGTAATGGCTCATTTTTAGATTCTAATCAGTGTAAAAGCATAGAGGAACACTTTACAGATCTCTGGTAGCAGACAGCTAGTAAGGCACTTTGTTATTTCATTTTCCATGAAAAGCAGAGATCCTGAGCATCCGAGGGGTTGGTGAAGCCCAGCCCTGCATCCATCCAGCTCCTGCAATTCCATGCGGTGGTTTTGTGCTTCACCTCCA